GGGAAAAGTGAGCACCCAAATTCTAAGTGAGAGACACAGGGCAAAACATCTGACCAGTAACTGTTGCCAAATAGAAATTGTTTTTATACTCATGGGTCAAAAAACATGTGCCAAAATGAGTGTCACTCATGGGTGACTGATTTAAGGAGGATATTACCAGAAGTAGAATAATTTGAATCTAGGAAAACATTTTTTATATTTTCATTGTTATTTTATTTGAATGTGGTAAAGAACCACATAGCCACTAACACCATAAATAAATAGAATGCTTCCATCCATTGCCAAAATTCCCTTGTGCCCCCGTGCAGTCCATCTCCCACCCTTAAGACCAAACACTACCCAATTTTCTGTATCTACAGATTATTCTTGTCACTTCTAAATAAAATGATATAGGATGCAGTCTTTAATATTTAGCTTCTTTGGCTAACCACAGTGTCTTTGCAATTTATTTATAGTATTGCACATAGCATTGTTCCTTTCTTGTTGACAAGTACTATCCCATAATATAAATATAGCACTCCCCCTCACCTATTGTTGAGGGTTTCATCTGCTACTAGCTTTGGCCATTATGGATAAGGTGCCAGGCGTATGTGTAAGTACGAGACTCTGTATGGATACATTTCATTTCTCTTTAGTACATACCTACAAGTGGAATTGCAGAGTCACATGTTAATTGTGTGTTTAGCAAGAATCTACTCAACTGTTTTCCAAAAAAGGTTGTGTTAATGTACATTGCCATCAGTTGCTCCATATACTGGCTAGCACTTGGTATGTCAATCTTTTTACTTTAGGCATTCCATGGATAAGGAGTCTTGTCTCCATATAGTTTTATTTTGTAATTCTCTAATGACTAATGATGAGTATCTTTTCATTTACTCAGAGCTCATTCATATACAATGCTATAAAGTCTATTAAACATTTTTCCTATATTTAAAAATTAGATTGTTTTATTTTTATTTCTCAGTTGTTCAGAGTAATTTTGTATTCTGGAGACAGCCTCTCTGTCAAAGGGAACTTATCTCCCCTGCTACGTGTAGCCTGCTTTTTCATTTTCATTTTCCTTACTACGTCTTACTCAGAGCAGAAATTTTAATTTTTATGAAGTCTAATATATCATTTAAATTTTTTTTCTGGTGTTTTTTGTGTTCGAAGAAATCTCTGCTTACTTCAAATTGTAAAAAACATCTTTCCTGCTGGGCGCGGTGCTGCATGTATGTAATTCCAGCAGCTTGGGAGGCTGAGGCAGGAGGATCACAAGTTCAAAGCCAGCTTCAGTAACAGCAAGGCACTAAGCAACTCAGTGAGACTGTGTCTCTAAACAAAATACAAAATTGGACTGGATGTGTGGCTCAGTGGCTGAATGCTCCTGAGTTTAATCTCTAGTATGCCCCGCCCCCCCCCAAAACCACATTTTTCCTATGCTTCTAGAAATCATGTAGTTTTAGTTTTCATGTTGATGTCCATAATCTACTTTTAGATAATTTTACATAATCTAATTTTCAAGTGTTTTGGGGTGAGGAATTGATGTCCATTTTGTGGCCATGTAGTTGTTCTGACACTGTGTTACAAAAACCATACTTTCTCCCCTGAATTACCTTGGTGCATTTGTCACAAATTTATTGACTCTTTACATGTGGGTCTGTCTCTGGACACCTCCATGCTAGTCCATTGATCTATATGTTTATATTTATGCCAGTGCCACACTCTTGATTTTTGCTGTATATTAAATGTTGAAATCGAACAGTGTAAGTAGTCTTTCTCTTTAAACTTATTGTGGCTCTTCCAGATCATTTGCCATTTCATATTAATATCAGACCCAGTTTGTTAATTTCCATACATGTGCACATTCACACGCAAAGACTGGGAACTTTGAGCATCTACTGAATCTACTGATTAATTTGGGAAGAATTAAACAATTGAGTCTTCTAAGCCACCAACATTATACCTGTCGTTATCTTTAAGTATTCCTTAATTTCTTTGAAGGATGTTTTAGTATACAGACCTTGCATATATTTTGTTAAACTTGTCCTGAGTTATTTCGTATTTGTAAATGTCATTGTAAATAGTTTTCTCTTACACAGTTCATTTCCTAATTACATGCATTTTCTAATTAGGTTGATTTTAAATATTTTTTCTTATATCCTGTGACCTTGTTAAATTTACTTATTAGTTTTAGTAGCTTTTTTGTAATTACTTTGGGATTTCCTGTCATACGTTTTTATGACCTTATTAATAGAGATAGTTTTACTTTGCCAGCCTCTGTTTTTCACTTTTTTTTTCTTATTGTATCTCCAGTGGAATTTTGAAGAGAAGTGTTGAAAGCAGAGATGTTTACCTTGCTCTCCATTTTAGGGTAAATCATTCAATCTTTCATAATTAAGAGTGATGTTAACCAAAAGTTTTCCATAGATGAATTTTCATCAGCTTGAGGCATTACTAATTTATTACTAGTTTCCTGATAGTTTTTTTTAAATCATGAATGACCTCCTAAAATGCCAATGTATGCATTTTTAAGTTGACATTCAGCCAAAGACTTAAGGCAACCTCCCTATTTCTGTAGCTCTTTCTCTACATAACTCTTTCTTTATATAACTTCCACAAATTCTAACACTCATGGTCCCCTTGACCTTGGACACTTTTCTCCTTAACTGTTATTGTTACCCTTCCTTATGCTGTTCTAGAAATGACCAAGCAAAAATCTGGGGTTACTGCAGGATCCACATCATCATTTCCCCTCTGTGAGGCATTGTCTTCTCAACTGCTTATTTGTGCAATGCATGAAAACAGTTATTTTAATATTTTGGATACTTGTTGTCCAGTATTGTAATATTTGCTTTATACAAAAGAGTAGAAATCTGTACCTGATGGATAGTTAATATGTTTACTTAATCTTTCTATTTCCACGAGTAATGCACTTGGGTATTTTTTCCCCCTGTTTTCTGAAATCTTTATAAAAACACACATAGGTGTTGCTTACTACTTCATTTATTTTATGCTAACATGTCTCCCAGGTTACTTACTTGCTGTTTATACTGAACACAGCTTACACATACTTCCAATCACTTCTTTTGTTCCCTCTAATAATTTGTTATATGTTCTATGTTTTAAATTTTCGAGTAGATATCAAGAATTGTGATGAAAACTATTATGTAATGATTACTTTCTCCATAGATGTAAGCCTGTGGGTGTCTTCTTAGATATATAAAAAAAGAGTGTCTTTATTTTTGTCACTGAAATTCATGGCATATTATAAGATCAGTTCTTTTTTTTTTTTTGGTCAAGCGTTACTGCCATAATCTTTTCCTATCAAGGTTATTCAGGTCAGGGTTACTTTATAAAATTGTTCTGGGTCTTTTTCCTAATATATACATTTTTTCTAAATCTGACTAAAATTTTAGAAAATAAAAATTATCATGGGTGCTTTATAATGCATTTACTAAATCTCTTTGGCATGGCTGGATGCAATTGTGAAAACAAATAAAAGATTGAGTTACTTTTTTATGATTACAGTCTACCTACCCTCCTTTCCAGTGTTCTGTATAAATTCAGATCCCTCTGGTCTGTATGAACTCTGACCCCTATCTTCTAATTTTAAAATGCTCCTTTACTTGTTCTATCTCTGGCAAGGTGAAATTATAATTTGGGTCAAGGGTAAAGTTATTATGGGCTATTGGACTAAAGAAATGAAGATGTTTGTGAATCAATGGAGATGAAAAGCTGTCATTCTTCATGGTATGTTCTGTTTGGTTGCTGCTCTCCTGGTGTTTACAAGAGCACATGTGGTAAAACAGCCCAAGTTCTTTCCTGAAGAGCTTTTCTCTTGTATTCCGTTTTTCCTTGGTCTGTTTCCATTGACTCTTCTTGATAGAAGAAGCATTTAAATGGCTAAGGCATGGGTGCAGGTTTGAAGGTCAAAGATATTGTCTGCTAAGACTTTCCTAGAACAGATGCCAAAATGCCAGAGCAGTTCAGTACTGACCCAGAGATGGACTTCAATGCTTTTGTGTGTGTGTGCGCCAGGGATTGAACCAGGAGTGCTTAACCACTGAGCCGCATTCCCATTCGCCTTTAAAAAATTTTTTTTATTTCTTCTTTTTAGTAATACATGACAGTAAAATGTATTTTGACATATCATACAAAACACAGAGTATAACTTCCCATTTTTGTAGTTGAACGTGATGTGGAGTTACACTGGTCGTGTGTTCATATATGAATTTAGGAAAGTTGTGCCTGATTCATTCTACTGTCTTTCCCATTCCTATCCCTGCCCCCTTCTCCCACCCATATAACCTGGTAAATCAACTCTGCCCCATCCCACCTGCCTATTGTGAGTCAGTATCTGTGTATCAGAGAGAACATTCAGCCTTTGTATTTTTTTTGGATTGGCTTATTTCACCTAACATGATAGTCTCCAGTTCCATTCATTTCTGGCAAATGCCATAATTTCATTCTTCTTTTTTGGCTGAGTAATAATCCATTGTATATATACACCACATTTTTTAATCCATTTATCTATTGAAGGACACCTAGGTGGGTTCATAACTTAGTTATTGTGAATTGAGCTGCTATTAACATTGATGTGGCTGTGTCACTATAGTGTGCTGGTGGTTCCATTCCTAGTTTTCTAAGGAATCTCCATACTGCTTTTCAGAGTGGTTCCACCAATTTGCAGTCCCACCAGCAATGTACAAGTGTACTTTTCACCCCACATCCTTGCCAACATTTATTTTCACTTGTGTTTGTGGGAGGCCACTCTGCCCATGCGCTGAGGATCTTCTCTCAACTTTGAATAAGGGGGCTGTTTGGTCTGGCATTGCATGCCACGCACTGTGCAAAACAAGTGGCCTCCACTGTCACTCTGCAAAGAAGTTTGCTTTAGCCCTGGGCTTGGGCTTTACTCAATGGGACTGGACAATCCCCCTTTGAATCCTTATCCCCTGCCTCATTTGGTGAAGAACATTCCATCGAATCTCCTTTGTGTATCCCCCTTGTTGTTGGGAATGTCTGAATATCTGAACAAGTATGAAAATAATTGTTCAGATAAAGACTCAAAAAGGCCAAAGACATGTGAGCAAAATACTCGACTTAATAGCATAGAAAATTATCTCAATAAAGATGATGAAGGATTTAAATGCAAAAAGATAAACCAATTAAAAAATAAGGATAAGAAAGAAGATGAAAAACATCAAAATTGCTTGGACCCTGCTAATATCAGAGCAAACACGAAACACCAAGAAGCCGAATTCCAGCTCCCGGAACTGAGCCCGCGGGGACTGCTTCTTGGAGCTTACACTTATAGGAGCTTACACCGAGCACAGAGCGGCCGAGTTCCGGCTCCCGGAACCGTCCCGGAACCGCCCTGGCTCAGGGCTGCGGAGCCCGCGGAGGCTGCTTCTTGGACCCTGCTACTATCAGAGCATACACCAAACACTAAGCGGCCGAATTCCGGCTCCCGGAACTGAGCCCGCGGGGGCTGCTTCTTGGAGCCTACACTTATAGGAGCTTACACCGAGCACGGAGCGGCCGAGTTCCGGCTCCCGGAACTTCCCTGGACCGGGGCTAGGAGCCCGCGGAAACTGTGTCTCGGTCCGGGTCCTGCTGAGGGCAGGTCAGGACTCACCCATTGCTTGGGTTGCCTGGCAAGGGGAACGAAATGCTGCCATTCGCATAGGATACCAACATGGCAGAGATCTGATGTCAGCAGAAAGCGGTGGAGGAGAGATCTTCATCAATACCAGCGGTGACATAAGCAGTTGGTCTCCTGGTAAGGGGGGTGAGGCTCAGTCACCCGAGTCTCCTCAAGTTGTCCTCGAGCCAGAGGGAAGGAGCCGGGCCACCGCCAGCCCCCGGAGCAGGCCCAGCGGCTCGCCAGCGTGGTGACCGCGTGACCCCAATTGGAGAGGGGGCGGAGCGGAGCCGCCACCCACACCCGCCAGGTGGGCAGACCCACGACCCAGTAGTACATGGGCGTGGTAGGAGGGGCAGGGCAGAGCCGCCCTTCGCGCTTGCAAGGTAAACAGACCTGTGACAGCCTGGCGGGTCAGGCCCAGTGGCCTGCCAGTGTGGTACACACGTCACCCCAACTCGAGTAGGGGCAGAGCAGATCCTTATCCCACGCCCGGATCAGGCCCTGCCGGTGTGGTGGTCACGTGACCCCAATTGGAGTGGGGGTGGAGCGGAACCGCCACCCGTGCCCGCAGGGTGAGCAGACCAGTGATCAACCTGCAGATCAGGCCCAGGGGTCCGCAGGCGTGGTAGGAGGGGCAGGGCAGATCCGCCGCACGCGCCTTCAAGGTAGGCAGACCTACAACAGACCGGCGGATCAGGCCCAGGAGCCTGCCGGCGGGGTACAAACACCACCCTAATTGGAGTAGTGACAGAGCAGAGTCGCCTCCCTTGCCAGGAACAGACCCAGCATCCTGCAGGCGGGGTAGTCACGACACCCCAATTGGAGTAGGGGCAAAGCAGAGCCTCCACTCGTGCCCGAAAGGTGGGCAGATCTGCGACCGACCAGCAGGACAGGCCCAGTGGCCTGCTGGTACGACAGACACGTCACCCCAATTGGAGTAGGGGCAGAACAGAGCCGCCACCAGCTCCCAGAACAGGCCCAGTGACCTGCCGGCGTGGTAGCCACGACACCCCAATTGGAATAAGGAGAGAGCAGAGCCGCCGCCCGCACCTGCAGGAAAGATACGCAAGCAGTATGAAAAGACAAGGAAAGAAAGGACCACAAGCAATGCAGGTCAACGCAACTTTAGAAGAGGTAACAGCTGCAGCAGATGGAATGTCAGATAAAGAATTCAGGATATACATGCTTCAGATGATCTGGAGTATCAAGGAAGACATTAAACAGCAAAATCAGACAATGAAAGATCACTTCGACAACGAATTACGCAAACAAATCCAGGACGCAAAGGATCAACTATACAGGGAGATAGAGGTTATAAAAAACAAGCAATCAGAAATCCTAGAAATGCAGGAAGCAATAAACCAACTTAAAAACTCAATGGAGAATACTACCAACAGAGTAGAACACTTAGAAGATAGAACATCAGACAATGAAGACAAAGTATTTCAACTGGAAAAGAACATAGACAGCTCAGCAAGACTGTTAAGAAACCATGAGCAGAACATCCAAGAAATATGGGATAACATTAAGAGACCAAACTTAAGAGTCATTGGGATACAGGAAGGTACAGAGCTCCAAACCAAAGGAATGAGCAGTCTATTCAATGAAATAATACAAGAAAACTTCCCAGACTTGAAGAATGAGACAGAATCCCAAATCCTAGAAGCCTACAGGACGCCGAATGTGCAAAATCATAAGAGATCCACACCTAGACACATTATAATGAAGATGCCCAACATACAGAATAAGGAGAGAATTTTAAAAGCTACAAGAGAAAGGAAGCAGATTACATTTAGGGGCAAGCCAATCAGGATAACAGCTGATCTTTCAACACAGACTCTGAAAGCTAGAAGATCCTGGAATAACATATTTCAAACACTGAAAGATAATGGGTTCCAACCAAGAATTGTGTATCCAGCGAAATTAAGCTTCAGGATGGAGAATGAAATTAAAACCTTCCACGATAAACAAAAGTTTAAAGAATTCGCAGCTAGAAAACCATCTCTTCAAAACATCCTAGCCAAAGTATTACAGGAAGAGGAAATGGAAAATAACAATGAAAACCAACAGTGGGAGGTAGGACAGTAAAGGGGGGGGGAAACAATCAAAGAGGAAAACAAACAATGTTTAGTAACAGAAATAAACAAATATGGCTGGAAGAACAACCCATATCTCAATAATAACCCTAAATGTTAATGGCTTAAACTCACCAATTAAGAGACACAGGCTAGTAGAATGGATCACAAAACAAGACCCAACAATATGCTGCCTACAGGAGACGCATTTGATAGGAAAAGACATACATAGGCTGAAGGTGAAAGGTTGGGAAAAATCATATCACTCATATGGACTTCGGAAACAAGCTGGCGTGTCCATACTCATATCAAATAAAATAGATTTCAAGCCAAAGTTAATCAAAAGAGATAAAGAGGGACACTACATACTGCTTAAGGGAACCATACACCAACAAGACATAACAATCATAAATATTTATGCCCCAAACAATGGTGCAGCTATGTTCGTCAAACAAACTCTTCTCAAGTTCAAGAGTCTAATAGACCACCACACCATAATCATGGGAGACTTCAACACACCTCTCTCGCCACTGGACAGATCTTCCAAACAAAAGTTGAATAAGGAAACTATAGAACTCAATAACACTATTAATAACCTAGACCTAATTGACATATATAGAGTATACCACCCAACATCAAGCAGTTACACTTTTTTCTCAGCAGCACATGGATCCTTCTCAAAAATAGATCATATATTATGTCACAGGGCAACTCTTAGACAATATAAAGGAGTAGAGATATTACCATGCATCTTATCTGATCATAATGGAATGAAACTGAAAATCAACGATAAAAGAAGGAAGGAAAAAGCATACATCAATTGGAGAATGAACAATAGGTTACTGAATGATCAATGGGTTATAGAAGACATCAAGGAGGAAATTAAAAAATTCTTAGAGATAAATGAAAACACAGACACAACATATCGGAATCTATGGGACACATTGAAAGCAGTTCTAAGAGGAAAATTCATTGCTTGGAGTTCATTCCTTAAAAAAAGAAAAAACCAACAAATAAATGATCTCATACTTCATCTCAAAATCCTTGAAAAAGAAGAGCAAAACAACAGCAAAAGAAGTAGAAGGCAAGAAATAATGAAAATCAGAGCTGAAATTAATGAAATCGAAACAAAAGAAACAATTGAAAAAATTGACAAAACTAAAAGTTGGTTCTTTGAAAAAATAAACAAAATCGACAGACCCTTAGCGATGCTAGTGAAGAGAAGAAGAGAGAGAACTCAAATTACTAGCATACGGGATGAAAAAGGCAATATCACAACAGACACTTCAGAAATACAGAAGATAATCAAAAACTATTTTGAATCCTTATACTCCAATAAATTAGAAGATAGTGAAGGCATAGATAAATTTCTTAAGTCATATGATCTGCCCAGATTGAGTCAGGAGGATATAGAAAACCTAAACAGACCAATATCAATTGAGGAGATAGAAGAAACCATCAAAAGACTACCAACTAAGAAAAGCCCAGGTCCCGATGGGTATACAGCAGAATTTTACAAAACCTTTAAAGAAGAACTAATACCAATACTTTTCAAGCTACTTCAGGAAATAGAAAAGGAGGGAGAACTTCCAAATTCATTCTATGAGGCCAACATCACCCTGATACCTAAACCAGACAAAGACACTTCAAAGAAAGAAAACTACAGACCAATATCTCTAATGAACCTAGATGCAAAAATCCTCAATAAAATTCTGGCGAATCGGATACAAAAACATATAAAAAAAATTGTACACCATGATCAAGTAGGATTCATCCCTGGGATGCAAGGCTGGTTCAATATACGGAAATGAATAAATGTTATTCACCACATCAATAGACTTAAAAATAAGAACCATATGATCATCTCGATAGATGCGGAAAAAGCATTTGACAAAGTACAGCATCCCTTTATGTTCAAAACTCTAGAAAAACTAGGGATAACAGGAACATACCTCAATATTGTAAAAGCAATCTATGCTAAGCCTCAGGCTAGCATTATTTTGAATGGAGAAAAACTGAAGGCATTCCCTCTAAAATCTGGAACAAGACAGGGATGCCCTCTCTCTCCACTTCTCTTCAACATAGTTCTCGAAACACTGGCCAGAGCAATTAGACAGACGAAAGAAATTAAAGGCATAAAAATAGGAAAAGAAGAAATTAAATTATCACTATTTGCAGATGATATGATTCTATATCTAGCAGACCCAAAAGGCTCTACAAAGAAACTATTAGAGCTAATAAATGAATTCAGCAAAGTGGCAGGATTTAAAATCAACACGCATAAATCAAAGGCATTCCTGTATATCAGCGACAAATCCTCTGAAATGGAAATGAGGACAACCACTCCATTCAAAATATCTTCAAAAAAAATAAAATACTTGGGAATCAACCTAACAAAAGAGGTGAAAGACTTATACAATGAAAACTACAGAACCCTAAAGAGAGAAATAGAAGAAGATCTTAGAAGATGGAAAAATATACCCTGTTCATGGATAGGCAGAACTAACATCATCAAAATGGCGATATTACCAAAAGTTCTCTATAGGTTTAATGCAATGCCAATCAAAATCCCAATGGCATTTCTTGTAGAAATAGAGAAAGCAATCATGAAATTCATATGGAAAAATAAAAGACCCAGAATAGCAAAAACAATGCTAAGCAAGAAGTGTGAATCAGGCGGTATAGCGATACCAGACTTCAAACTATACTACAGAGCAATAGTAACAAAAACAGCATGGTACTGGTACCAAAACAGGCGTGTGGACCAATGGTACAGAATAGAGGACACAGAAACCAATCCACAAAACTACAACTATCTTATATTTGATAAAGGGGCTAAAAGCATGCAATGGAGGAAGGATGGCATCTTCAACAAATGGTGCTGGGAAAACTGGAAATCCATATGCAACAAAATGAAACTGAATCCCTTTCTCTCGCCATGCACAAAAGTGAATTCAAAATGGATCAAGGAACTTGATATCAAATCAGAGACGCGCCGTCTGATAGAAGAAAAAGTTGGCTACGATCTACAGTCGGTGGGGTCGGGCTCCAAATTCCTCAATAGGACACCCATAGCACAAAAGTTAATAACTACAATCAACAAATGGGACTTACTCAAACTAAGAAGTTTTTTCTCAGCAAAAGAAACAATAAGAGAGGTAAATAGGGAGCCTACATCCTGGGAACAAATCTTTACTCCTCACACTTCAGATAGAGCCCTAATATCCAGAGTATACAAAGAACTCAAAAAATTAGACAATAAGAGAACAAACAACCCAATCAACAAATGGGCCAAGGACCTGAACAGACACTTCACAGAGGAGGACATACAGTCAATCAACAAGTACATGAAAAAATGCTCAACATCTCTAGCTGTCAGAGAAATGCAAATCAAAACCACCCTAAGATACCATCTCACTCCAGTAAGATTGGCAGCCATTAGGAAGTCAAACAACAACAAGTGCTGGCGAGGATGTGGGGAAAAGGGTACACTTGTACATTGCTGGTGGGACTGCAGATTGGTGCAGCCAATTTGGAAAGCAGTATGGAGATTTCTTGGAAAGCTGGGAATGGAGCCACCATTTGACCCAGCTATTCCCCTTCTTGGTCTATTCCCTAAAGACCTAAAAAGAGCATGCTACAGGGACACTGCTACATCGATGTTCATAGCAGCACAGTTCACAATAGCAAGACTGTGGAACCAACCTAGATGCCCTTCAATAGACGAATGGATAAAAAAAATGTGGCATTTATACACAATGGAGTATTACTCTGCATTAAAAAATGACAAAATCATAGAATTTACAGGGAAATGGATGGCATTAGAGCAGATTATGCTAAGTGAAGCTAGCCAATCCCTAAAAAACAAATGCCAAATGTCTTCTTTGATATAAGGAAAGTAACTAAGAACAGAGTAGGGACGAAGAACAGGAGAAGAAGATTAACATTTAACAGGGATGAGAGGTGGGAGGGAAAGGGAGAGAGAAGGTAAATTGCACGGTAATGGAAGGAGACCCTCAGGGTTATACAGTGGAGGGGGTAGAGAGAGAGGAGGGGAGGGGAGGGGAGAGGTGGGGAGGGGGGAGGGTGGATGATGGGAAAGGCAGCGGAGCACAACAGACACTAGTATGGCAATTTGTAAATCAATGGATGTGTAACTGATGTGAATCTGCAATCTGTGTATGGGGTGAAGGTGGGAGTTCATAACCCACTAGAATCAAAGTGTGGAATATGATATGTCAAGAAATTTGTAATGTTTTGAACAACCCACAATAAAAAATTAAAAAAAAAAAAAAAAAAGAAAAACATCAAAATTGTTCTCAAAGAAAGAGTATAAAAGACTATTTGTCTACATGTGAGTGACTAAAAAATACAGAAGTATTGAGGACCACACTGAAACATTCAAGTGAAACATTCAAGTAATTTTCATTCCTTGGATGGAACCTCAACCAGAGCCTTTCATCCTCAAACTGGATTGCCTCTTCTTTCAAGTCCTGTTCCTCAAAGAAAGACACAGTCAGGTTGCTTTAATCTGGATTCTTCATTATTGCATCTGAAAAACTTATCATCTAGAAGTACTCGGCCATGTTTAAACATTGAAGAAGATCCAGATATTCATGAAAAACCTTTTTTGAGTTCTAGTGCTCCACCTATAACAAGTCTTAGTCTTCCAGGAAATTTTGAGGAATCTGTGTTGAACTATCCTTTAGACCCTCTTGGCATAGTTGATGGCTTTACTGCTGAGGTAGGGGCAAGTGGTATTTTTTACCCCACACATTTGACTCTTCCAGTTGAAGTGTCATTCTACATTGTTTCAGATGATAATGCTCCTTCTCCTTGTATGGGTGTGATTACTTTAGAGTCCCTTGGTAAAAGAGGTTATCAAGTACCTCCTTCAGGAACAATACAAGTGACCTTATTTAATCCTAATAAGACTGGTGAAGACACTTGTTGTGATATATGACTTTCGAGATATGCCAGCCAATCATCAGACATTCCTACGACAAAGAACTTTTTCTGTACCTGTTAAACAAGACATGAAGAGAAGTATTAATAAAGAGAACATCCGACATACGGAAGGACGGTTATTACGCTACCTCATACATTTGAGGTTCCAGAGTTCTAAATCTGGAAAGATCTACCTCCATAGAGATGTACGGCTCCTGCTACCTCGGGTACCCGCTACTTTGAGTTCTTGCTCAGTTCCTGCTGAGTTCACTCGCAATAAAGTAGTTCCCGCTTCAACCTTCAAGTTGCTTGTCACCTCTCGGTTATTTAGCCCAGCCGGACTACTGCACCCTGTAAAAATAAAGACATTATAGGTGCACGCTCTCTTTCCAGTGGAAGCTGACCCGTAAGGTTGCAGAGCCATCCTCCCCTCAACATGGAAACTACTGTGTTGCATGATTTCTTAGCTTAATATTGCAGCCAGCTCTTTTGAACCCAGCTCATCTCCTCAGCGCAGGCCGCTGGCGAGATAATTGCCATTGTGCTTGATAATTGCCATTCTGAGTGGAATGAGATTAGACCTCAGTGTGGTTTTAATTTGTATTTCTCTATTTCCCAGTCCTCTTTTTAATATTTTATTTAGAGACAGGGTCTTGGTAAGTTGCTTGGAGCTTCTCTAAGTTGCTGAACCTGGATTTGAACTCATGATCCTCCTGCCTCAGCATCCTGAGCGATTTTAGGCATACACCACTATGCCAGGATTTGATGCCTTTTATTATTATTTTATTTATTAATTTTTCAATATTCTTTTAAAAAACTTTATGTGGTGCTGAGGATCGAACCTAGTGCCTCACACATGCTAGGCAAGTGCTCTACCACTGAGTCACAACCCCAGACCCTTCAATGCCTTTTAAAAATGAAAATGTGCATTTTCCACTTTGTGAATCTTTAGCTGATAGTGGTAGCAGATTGGCCAAAGCTTTAGTATTACTTGACTCTGTTTAGCTTTTTCCAAAAGGGAGACTTGGGTAAATTTTATAATAGTTTAACAGGTTATAATTAGTATGGGAGCAAGATCCAAATATTTGACAAGCAAAATCCCTCATAAAGATTAGCACTGTGGCAAAAAAAGGAGCCCCTGCTGTTCATACCACCTCCAATTATCTTAAGAGCTGGGGGCTGTCAGTGCAATCTGGACTAATCTTTAGGTTAAAGTTTTCTACAGAAAAAGAAGTTTGGCTTTAGGATGTCTTGATCTCTGCTTCTCATTAGTGCAAAGATGGTGCTAGTTAATTATTTAGGGGACAAAAGCCTCATCTCAAAATAGGCAACACTTCAACATGTAACTCTTTGGCTTCTGGATCAATGGTGTAGTGATGGTGGGTGGTGCAGGATTTGATCACCTGGACTGTTCTGTTTCTCCTTCAGCTTTAGTTTCCCTTATGCAGCCATGATTAATATACACTTGCCAGAGGCAATCAAAGAAAGAAGAAATGCCTAATTTTCCCCACTCCTCCACATGGTATAAATTTATCTGTGATACTTATCTTGGATATTCTCTGTCTTCTGGAATTGCTAAGTGTATTCAAAGAGAGAAGAAAAACAACTGAGTTGTAGTGACCCAAGTAATTTGATTATGTGGTATGCAAGGATTCCACTTCTGATCAGGAATCTTCAGTGGACAGCAATGAAATCTTGGTCATGGTTTTCATTTCTGGGACTCAGAATGTAAGTCAGCCACTAATGGATAATGAAGCTTATCAACAGAGATGAAGACTGAGAGCCAAATATGTTTATATCATATTGAATGGAGATGGAAGAAAAACTTGACCCATTGTAAACCTAAGGGTAATAATTGAAAGAGCCACTGTGGGAAAAAGCAAAGAGGACTCAGATGTATAAATGGGGTTTGTACAGAACAAGAAGCAAGTTGACATGTTTTAAAACTAACTTGAATCAACTAAAAGAACAAGGAAATGAATGCTAGCCTCTCAGAGGTAAAGCTCACCTGTGCTGTTGCATAAATAAGAAGCCCATTAAAATGTTTTTTATAGCCATGATGTGGCAAGTTATCAACGCCAGAACTGAGAGCTGAGGAAAGGGGAATCTTTGAGGAGGAGCACATTGCAAAGGATAATATGATTCTCACTGGCCCATAACAGAAGAGGCTCGAAAGGAACCATGTTGAGTCCTCAGGCTATTAACTCTTTTTTTTTTAAAATAAATTTTAGTTGTCAATGGACCTTTATTTTACTTATTTATATGTGGTGCTGAGAATTGAACCCAGTGCCTCACACATGCAAGCACTTTACCACTGAGCTACAACCCCAGCCCCAAGCTATTAACTCTTTTTTTTTTTTTGGAGAGTTTCCTCCTACAGGGATAATTGCTCCCATGGTATTGACACTGGGTTTCTCAATAGAATCCTTTGGCAATTGTATACAAGTTGAAATATAAGAATAAAAAAAAAAGAAATATAAGAATCAGAGTATTATTGGAAAGAAAGAAAAAATTTTCAATATACTGAGTGGTTATTGAATACACAGAAAGAAATTTGGGATTAAGGGTTAGTGATATCACCACTAGAAATGCTGAATTTAAAAGAAAACTGATATATTTCAGATGCCAATTTCTCAAAAGACCCAGCAATAAAATTATTTTCTCAGATAGGGCGAATACAAAATTAGAGTAGTACTGTTTACTTCTGGATAGGAGAATTCTCTAAATCCATGTTAATTTAAGTTTGCAGATAGAAGACTAACACTTGTTACAAAAATGGCAAACAGCAACAATGTAGGGTTTTTCTTTTATCTCTTCTATTTGTCTTCCTAATGTTTTTCCCTCAAATAAAAAAGATTCTCTGCCATTGTGTATAGTTGACCCAGTGCTGTGCGTCTGGAGCAGCGATGGTGAATACAGATATAAGAGCTGCCGGTCCTCTCTCCCACACCTGTGCAAACAAGTCTCCCTGATCCCAGCCTCTGTTGATCATAGATGCCAGGGAGGAGCCTCTGACTCTGAGCAGTATCTCCATCACAGAGATCTCGTGTGTGCCTGGACTCACTTGGCTACTTGCAAGTGCTTATTGACTTTAGCTTTGTACTGTAGCGTAGTTGGCACTCCATGGTCACCTGAAGATACTCCTGAGGTACAGTAATTTTCAGAGTTCCAATTTTAAGATTTTGATTGTTTGGGGATAATTATTGGGGGAAGGAAATTTGTGGAAGTTACTCTAAGGCAGAGCAGGGTTTAGCCTATGTTAACTTTGGCAAATATTACATGAGCTAAAATGAAGATGCCCCCTCTACTATTCCATGATGCTGGTATGTGTCATGAAGTTAGTAAAAACCATGAGTCTGTAAGTTCCAGTGGTTTCAGTCTTCATTATGCTAACCCACCAATTTCCCAGAGACCAGGAGTATTTACTATGAGTAAATAGAACTAGTTAAAGCTTTATCACCAGTGTTAAAATCTGTGATGTAATATATGTATACATTATGGCTACAATACCATTCAGACCCACCTCTATGGCTCTTGAGTCCTAGTATCTTCATAATAAATTATTTATATAGGCTCGCTGTGCTTCTGATGAAGTCAAGAAAGTTGTTTACCCTAGAGGCAAGCGATGCATGGTTGCCTGTGGTCTCAATGTGGTCTAACGGCAGGTACAAAAGTACACTACTACTTCCATAAGTTTATGAGACAGCACAAGTCAGGCAAAGCAAATTTATTACTTACACAGTAAGAACACACAGTCAAGGATCCATGGAGGGCCATGAATCAGGAAATATGCACAGAGCTGATGGTGTCTTGTGTGTGTCTCACATTGTATTGCTCTGAGGGACTCTGAAAATACTTTGTCCTTGATTTTATACCTTGGGTGCCACATGGTCACTGAGCTTAAGTGTTGCAGAATATCATGTTCTAGCAGGAATGCAAACATCGCTGGAGCTAATCCGGCCAGCCCTTCCTTTTCTCAGGATAATGCATTCTCAGTACAATATACAGTTATTCTGAGAACTACTTGTGTGAAAGGGAGAACTGGGTAGGCCAAGGTCACCATGGATCTGTCCTACAGGAGGGACATTTGTATTCTTCTGGGTGCTTCCAAAAGGGCAGAAGCAGCATGCTAGGAGAAGTGGCCCAGTACTTATGGGTCAAGGAAAGAGTTACAGGGGCTGGAGGTATGAGTGGTTGAGTGTATGCTTAGCACATGCAAGACCAGAGTTCAAGCCACATCACCTCCCCATCATTTTTTTTTTTTAAATGGCCACTCAGCATGAAGAAGCATCTGCTGAATCAAGGGGGTTGCAGGAGAGATGTCCTAATGATGGGCTTCTCTGAAAAGTCTACAAAGGTTTCCCTCAAACAGACTCATCCCTAATTTCAGCCAGATCCTAACTTCTGCTGCATTAATATCATTTCAGGCAAGGTATTTTTTTTTAATCCACTTTCCATGCTCTGCTCTGTCTCATCTCACATCCGGAAGTGCATCTGACTCAGGAGGGAGTAACTGATTCAGAAGCAGGAGACAGGAGGGAGGAAATCTCCAGAGGGAGAGTTTAAAGAACTTATTTGTACCTCTTTCCTCATTGTTGGCTTGGTCTTCAGCCAGCCTGAGCTAGGGATAAGGATAAAGTTTTTTGTTTTTTAATTTTACTTTTTTATTCTTTTTAGATATACATGACAGTAGAGATATTTTAACATGTTATACATATATGGAATATAACTTATTCTAATTAGGACCCCATTCTTGCAATGGTACATGATGTAGAGTTACACTGTGGTGTATTCATACATGAACATAGGAAAGTTATGTCCGATTAATGTCATATCTTTCCTATTCCCATTCTCCCTTCCTTAGGATAAAGTTTTTATGTTTAATCAAAGAAAGAGTTTTGAAAGTGATAATTTTGAAAATTAGTCTGTCTGAAATTGCCAACATATGTAGAACTGCAGGAAAAGCAAGGGACCTGTTTGTCCAGGGGCAAGAAAGTGTTACTCCCAACGAATACATTTTTTTGTTGTTGTGATTCTGGGGACTGAACCCAGGGCTTTGTGCATGCAAGGCAACCACTCTACCAACTGAGCTATATCCCCAGCCCCCAGTGAATACATTTTAAAGGATGACAAAAGTTATATTTTGAATATAACACAAGTTGTGCTTGGTCAACATACTAGAAATAGTATCAAAAGGAAGAAAGTGATGGACTGTGGTGCTGAGGGTGGGGAGGGCAGTGTGAGGGAGGGATAAATTAGAAGCTATGTTTTTTTTTTTTTTTTTTTGTGCCAGTGTAACTGAACACAATGGCCTTACATCTTGGTGTGCAAAGCTGAAAAGAATAACCAGGAAATAGAAGAGTAGAGGGAGGTT